GGGGTGTACAGGGTCACCATTCACAAAGTCAGTTGTTGCTGCTGTCTCTCCACACAGTCGTCTTTGTTGTGTGTGTGTGGGGGGTCTCTACAGGCCTGGCACTTCAACCTTACCTTTACTGTAGTAGTTCGGACATTTTCTAAACGGTACTGGTTCTGACTACGTAGTAGTTGGGACATTTTCTAAACGGTACTGGTTCTGACTACAAATTTCTCATTTTCCACTGGGCCATATATGTTTTCTATAGTTTAGTTCCAACATTGCTGTCATGTTTCCACCATGTTTCTTGTTGTGTTTTTTTCCTTGTTCACTGATGTGCCTGGATGTAGTCACAAGTAAACCTTTGCTCCTTCCTGTGCTTCACGATTGCACGATCATTGAAACGCGCAGCGCAATCTCAAAAGTAAACTCAGACGTGCACCTTGCTCCAACATGTGCTCCCCAATTATACAATTGATAAAACGCGCAGCGCAATCTCAAGAGTAAACTCAAAAAAGTAAACCTTTGCTCCCCAATTATACCATTGTTAAAACACGCAGCACAATCTCAAAGAGTAAACCTTTGCTCCCCAATTATACCATTGTTAAAACACACAGCGCAATCTCAAGAGTAAACTAAAAAAAGTAAACCTTTGCTCCCACCTGTGCTCGGCAGACGTTTGAGGGGAACCTGACGACCAAGCCCATCAACGGCGCCATCTTCATCTTCAACCCGCGCACGGGCCAACTGTTCCTCAAGATCATCCACACGTCGGTGTGGGCGGGACAGAAGCGTCTGGGCCAACTGGCCAAGTGGAAGACGGCCGAGGAAGTGGCCGCCCTGATCCGCTCGCTGCCCGTGGAGGAACAGCCCAAGCAGATCATCGTCACTCGCAAGGGAATGTTGGACCCACTCGAGGTGAGTTCTTCTTGTCTTTTCACCTGTTGCAGGTGAGCAGTTCTTGTCTGTGTCATCGTCACTGGCAAGGAAATGTTGGACCCACTCAAGGTGGGCAATGTGACAGGCAAGAACTGTTTCTGTGCCAGCAACAGCGACGTGATCCTGTGATGTTTGTCCAGTCTAGATCAGGGGACAATCAAGGTTTGACAGTGGATGGTTGGCAGGTGTTCTGCTGTGGTTCGCTCCTTCTTGTGAAACATCTATCGTCCTGATCTCTCATCCTTCCTTTTTGTGTCTGTTACTCTCTTGTAACACCTCTAATCTTCGGCATTTATATAGACTTAGTATGTTGCGAGCGCGATAAAACACTAGCTAAAACTAAAGGTTTGACATCTCTTCCTCTGACAATGTTGTTGTTTCACTGACAATGTTGTGTTGTTTCACTGACAATGTTGTGTTGTTTCACTGACAATGTTGTGTTGTTTCACTGACAATGTTGTGT